CTCCACAGTGGTTACTGTTTGGCACCATGCAGCCAGGCCACATTGAGGCACCTGAGCAGGATGGAGAAAGGCCTCACCAGGTGTTAAGTTGGCAGTTGGGCAGGTAAACAGGAATTCAGGCATACCTGGGGCAGTCAGAGAATCCAGCCTGGGGGATGCGGTCATCTTGGTTAGCTCCCTGCCTATGGAAATGGGGCCCACCATGCCCGTGGAATGTGCACAAACCCCTTGCCAGTTTTCTCTGTAGGCAAGTACCTCTGCAGCCCTCCACTCCCCACCCACTGCTGGCATCTGTGCCCCTCGCCTCACTGGGGAGCAGCAGAGCCTTTACATGCTGCTCCCTCTCCTATCTGTCATGGCACCTGAACCCTTCCCCAAGCTGGTACCGCTGCCCTCTGCACCTCCCTGGGTCTGCCCCATCCTGAGCCTCGGTGGACCCTCGCCTTTCTCAAAGTTCGGCAGTGTCCCGTGACGGGCACAGGACGGGGCAGACCTGCCCTATTGCAGTGGCTGCTCATCTCTGGGGCTCAGACTGCATCCATCTGAGCAAGAGAAAAGGAGCACAGAGCCCGCACCCGCCTGATGTCATAGACGGCCGCTTCTCCTCTCGCTCTGCTGCGACAGGCCAGGATGACGCGAGCTCTTCTCCGGGCCAGATCCAGGGCTGTCATCTTCCCAATCCCAGTGTTTCCCCCTGGAAAAGCAGAACGAGGAGCTGGGCCCAAGGAGGAGACCAAGAGCAGCCCAGCTCTGTGGTGTGGTAGCACTGCGTTCCCTCTCAAAGCAATTCATAGAGCCTGCCTGAAATGCAGCCGCCTCTGGGGCGGAATGGTGTCTAGCCTCTGTTTGCCAGAAGCTGGGAATGGGCGATGGGATGGATCACCTGGCGATTCCCTGTTCTGTTCATTCCCTCTGGGGTACCTGGCACTGGCCACTGTTGGAAGACAGGATACTGGGCTAGATGGGCCTTTGCTCTGACCCAGTAGGGCCATTCTTATGAGGAGTGCGCAGCCAGCACACAATCCCCTGCACAACAAACCCGGGGAAGAGAACTTTGCCGAGGACACCAGGGTCCAAACCTCCTCTCACTGAAATTGCCTGGGGAGCTTTGTTTTTTGAAAGTCACATTTAGAGGATCCAGATGCAGTGTTCTGTGCAGAACTGCTACCAAGAAATCCTTTTTCTTACTAGGAATAGACTGTGGAACGCCTTGCCACAGCCAAGGAGGGATTGGCTGTTTCTATGGTTATCGTGCATATCCAAAATTAGACTAGTCAATACTAGAAAAGGGTTTGGGGAGGGAAAGAGCAACTCAGCACCCAGCCAAGTTCAAACTCTTACAGGCTAGGAGACTTCACTAGGGGACAGGTTATCCCGTAACCCTGCTGTGGGGCTGCCTGCCCATTCGTCTCACATATCCAGCCCTGGCCACTGGACTGAAGGTGGACCCCAGCTGATTCCAATCTGTCTCAACTAGCGGAGTCAAGTCTGCTGGGATCCCAACCCTTGACCGCAGGCGCCTTGGTAGCGCCAGCCAGATGCATTGAGCTCACATCTGTGGCATACAGGGAGAAGGCAGAGCTGGGCCGGGCACCCATGCCCCTGGATGCTCTGCCAACAGGAGAGAACATGCTGCGTGAGAATCAGAGTCCTGGCCCTGGAGTGGGGGGTGTTCCCACTTTGAAGAGAGACGATCTACCAGAGCCCAGGTAGCGCCCCCACTGCCCCTGGAGGCACCTGTCCCCTCTCCCGCTCACCTGTGATCACCACCGTCTTCCCTCGGAGGCTGGTTTGGGCCCTACACTTGGCCCCTTTGATGCAGTTGTAATAGAGGAGGGCATAGAGGCCCAGGAGCAGCCCAAGCACTAGCAGCACTGTTGCCATGGCTTCCCGGGGCGCAGCTACTAGGGTGAGCAGCAGTTTTCCCTTGGCTGCAGCCAATTCACAGACGCCTCCAGCTGCAAGATTCGCGTTTCAGGCCGAGCTGCCCTCCTCGGCGGGCCGGGGACTGAGCCAGAACCCGCAGCAAGGGAAGGACCAGGACAAAGGGCACTTGCTTCACATTGCAGGAAAGCTCCCCTGGGCTGGTCTCTGCATGCAACAGAGCTATGGCAAGCCTCCTGGGCCAAACTCTGCCTGTTCACGCCCAGGATGTGCACGGTGCTCAGGCTGGCTGGGCCTGGGCCCTCTGCCTTATAACGGGAGCCTGGCTGTAGTTCAGTCAATCTGCTGGCAACACTGCCACCTGCAGATCCATCGCCTGCAAGACACTCGTTCGGCTTTGGACAAGGAGCTAGAGCCAGCCGGGAAATTTCTGATCGACGTTTTTTGTCCGAAAAAGCCAAGGTGTCAAAACTGAAACTGCTTGCAGGAAAGCAATGGGGGTTTCCATTCATCCCCCGCTTCAAACAAACGGTGACAGAAGTGTCAGTCCTCAAAAACATCCTGTTTCGGCATTTTCTAAACAAAAACGTTCCAGGTTTTGGTTTAAATGACTTAATAGATGGAAGAGACAAGGTGGGTGAGGTGGTATCTTTTATTGGACCAACTTCTGTTGGTGAGCCGCACAAGCTTACATAGAGCTCTGTGTAAGCTCGAGAGCCGGTCTCTTGCACCAACAGAAGCTGGTCCAATAAAAGATATCACCTCGCCCACCTTGCCTCTCTAATATCCTGGGACTGACAAGGCTGCAACACTATTGCTACATACACGAATTTACAATTCAAAGGTTAGATAAAGAAACATTTTGATTGGCCCTGTCCAAAAGCAGTTTCAGATTTTCAGTATGCAGAATTTTTCGAGATTGAAGTTTTGTCCTGATTTGGGATGGAAAATTGTTTTGAAATCTCAAATTTCCCCCCAGACAGGACAACCGTTCCCCAGCTTACCAAGGACGGTGTGTTTGTTTTCTTCAGCAACCCATGACTGCAGTGGGCATGGTGGAGGCTCAGCACCTTTGAAAAACTGATTATTGGCACCTCTGCAGCAGCCCTTTAACAAACATGAACGGGTTCATGCTCCCAGCTGGCTTAGGGGCAGGGCCATTAGCTGTAGTGTCACTATTCCCCAATTACAGGTGCACAGACAGGTTTCAACAGGCTTAGAACCACCACTCACGTTCTGAACTGTAGGTTTATTTCATGGTTTTCTATCAGAGAGATGCTGATTACAGTCTGGTACCATCTCTGCTAGAGAACTAGGACCCCAGCTGTGGGACAAAAACGCAATATGAAAGAACTAAAGTAGCAGAGCAGGCACGGGGGGGGCGGGGGGCTTTAAACAATTAGTTATCTAGCCCCATAGACGTGCATTTCACTTTACAGACCTAGGAACACAAAGTCCCAGCCCTCTATTCTCTGTATCCAAGACCCCAAAATTGTCCCCCAGCCCTTCCTAACAGTCATTTGGACGAACACCTCCTATTCCCAATCATGCAGACCATGGCCACACAATAGCTCTGTGGCAGTGACAGGACTCACTCACGTGTAAGGTCTCCTGTGTTTGTAGGCACCGCTTGCCGGCAATGGAATGACACTAGAATCACGCCCCCGGCAAACACTGGACTAGAGAAAACAGCTCAACTGCACCACTGGGCAGTACAAACAGAGGGGGGTGAGCCCACAGAGGGGAGGAGGAGTGTTTGCCTTCGGTTCCTGCATGCTGGGCTAGCAGAAGCCAGGAGCAGCACGGAAGAGGTGCAAGCCAGTGCCAGGGGGGTTGTGGCCAGCCTCTAATGATTTTAAGTGGGACAAATGGGGGCAGTAAAGGACAGAGGGCAGAAAATGCTGCTTCAGGGGGTCATTTGGACAGGTAGAAGGGGTGCATCCCATGGGTGTATATGCCAACCTCCCTCAGGAACATTCACCAGCTCCAGGAGAAGTTCCTCTGCTGGAGGCCTGTTTGGCTGAAATGGGGTTTGCCAAGCACTGAGATCAGCGGCTGGAGGGTACCAGAGCAAAGCATTACAGTATTAGCATTTACTTTACCACTCACCCCTGCCCCAGGTTATGGCTGAAGATGATTAAACAAACCCTCATCTCCCAGTACCAGAGGCTAAATTCATGCAGGACTTTAAAACACTTTGCGCCCCAGGACTACAAGAAACCCGAAGCCAACGCATTAAAGGCTGCTGCCAAAATACCAGAACTCACTCAACACAGGGGTATGTTCCCCACGGCTAGTGATTAGCCAATCCAATCCGTCACAGGTCTCAGGAGGTGAGCACAGATATAGCCCTGAGCTACAAGTGAAGTCATGGCCCAGGAGCCTTCTCACTGGAGAACGCTCCCTTCACACCAGGCCTCACAACCTGCCCAAGGAGGAAAGTTCCCTGTCTGGAGAGGGCGAGAAGCTATCTGAGCCCCAAACTGCAGGTGGGAGGGAAAAAAGAAGGGTGCAAGTGTGGTTCTCGCTCTGTTTTCAATAGTATTATGAGAGTTTATTAATACAGACTTAATGCCATTGGAACAGATTGCAAATCCTTCCGTCTTTGTACAAAAAGAGTTAGTATTTCCAGCTCAGAACATAGAGTATAAAACAGTAAAAATACAGCCGAGCACGGCTCTAGGGCGGGAGAGCCGGGAGTGAAGGGGAAAGCTCCCGAATGGGAGCAGCTCCCGCCCTGTAATAGCTACAAACCTTGAGTGCCAACAGCGCGGGTCGCTGTGCCGCACGCCGCCCTAAGAACATACCCTGTCTGGGGGGGAGGGGATGCACACCGCCAGGGCATGGCACTGATGTGGTCAAGTACAAAGGGGAGCCACAGGGGCCATCACAGATACACCCTGTATTCAAACCTTCCATTCTTCAGGAGCTCACTTTGTCCCCAGCCACCCCAATCCTGGAGGCCTGGGGCAGAGCAGGTGGAGAGGAGCAGACCAGGGCTGTTCTGGGGCCCAGCCTGGAAGCCCTTCTCATAGAGGTTGGGTTTTGCCATGCGATGCTCTTGTAGATCCTTGCTTGTGTGTACAGAGTCAGGACAGACAGTCGAAAGCAGGAGGTGACGTATTTTGTTTTTTATATACAGAATACAGGAAAGTTTCTGTAAAGTCTAAAACATTACAATGACTATGTACATCGGAACTAGCTGTTCTGGAGGGCGGGGAGGTGGCAGAGAACAAAAAAGACAAACAGGTTTACGACAAACGATTTGCTACAATAGACAGTTTGAGGCAACGTCATACCACATGTAGCACTGTACACAGCTTTAAAACATTGAAAATGCCATCACGGATGTATTTACACAGAGTCCAATACTTTTCCTTCTTTGAAATAAAATAGGATGGACACCAGGAAAAGAACTCACTTCTCATTGCCCATAATACACAGTAGCTACTTGTAGTGCAACCATAGCAGGGAGGGTGGGGTAAAATAAGTGGGGGGAGGATAGCACTTCTTTACATTAAATAAAACAATGATATTGTATAGATTTGCTGTATGAAAACTGTATTTTTCTCTTTTAATATAAAACTATTGTCACTGGCACAAAATAGAACAAGTTTTTGATTATTTTACAACTGCATGGGACCGATCTGTCAGAGAGAGTCCAAGTCAGCCAGCACCCGCCCCTCCCCCTCCTCGCTCTGACACGTCCTCCTCTTGCTGCAGCTTTCCTTTTAAAATGAAATGTATAGTACAAATATATGTGCAAATGCCCCTAAAACTTGAGCAAAAGAAGAAAATAATTAAAAAAGTGAAACGTTCTTCATTTCATGCAAACGGCGCGTGAACAGTTTCTGGGCCGACAGAAAATCCCAACTTGGTTTGTACATTTTTGCATTGCAGGAGTCTAAGGACAGGGCTTTTCTTCCCCCACGGCTCTGCCTCAGCTCCTAGGGAACGGAGTTGGACCGCAGCACGGGCACCTGGTGGGGTTTCAGAGAGAGCTTTTCCTCCAAGTCCATCTCTTGTACTAAGGCAGCGTCCCCTTTGGGCTGTTTGGTTGCAAAGTCAGTGATGCTGAAGACAAACTGCAGGCAGCCCAGTTTGATGTAACTGCCGTGGTGGAGCAGGGCTGTTCCTTCCCACCCCGCTCCGCTGCCCCCTATTAAACTAGAGCTGCTGGCTTTGCAATTGCAGGGTTTCCGGCGTTGCCCTTGTGCCTGGGAATTCATCACGACTGCTTCTTCGTGCGGCTCCTCATCCTCTTTTCTGCCTTTGTGGCATTCTGGAAAAGAAACGCAAATGAGAAACAGGCTGCAGCAAGTGTCCCATCCAGAGAGCATCACTCAAGCGCAGCAGCTTGTTTCTATACAACATGAAGTGCTGCAGTCACATGATCACCAGCCACTTCAGAGTGCGGCCAGCCCCTGGGTCAGTGCTGCAGAGAGCTGTACGTAGGCCCAGCTGTGGGAAGTGCACGCGGTCAGGTGGGCAGAGGTGGAGAATGATGCTTAGAGTGTAGCCCCCCCACAGGACCATTTGCTTCCAGGTCAGAGGCTGTGTTCCCTGTAAGCTGCGCGCTTGGGTGGCCACACAGGAGAGATTCAAATGTCACCCAGCTGATTAGAGAGCACAGCTGGCAGAATGTGTTCAGGTGCCCTCCCCCCACATTGCTCTGTCCTGAAGCTGCTCCCGGGACCCTCCTGGTGGCTGTGCAGAGCTGGGGAGTGGAGGGGGAGAGATGTGGAGGGTGCTGTTAGGGTGTCCTCCTCCTCCTGTACCCCATCTCTGCAGAGCAGTGCAGAGGGGACAGCTTAGCTCAGGAGGACTGGGAGCTGCTGTGGTCTGAATGGGGAGTGGTGGAGTGCCTTTCTTAAAGAGACACTGCACAGTTTGAGATTTCCCCAGCAGCCAGCTCACACAGTCTCTCTCTCTCTCTTGCGCACACACCCCTCCTCCCCACGTACCCCCTCTCTGCAGAGCGGGGGTGGGGAGACAACAGGGCTCAGAGTCAGTCAGGACAGAGCAGGAGAGCTTTCAGTGAGTGTCTTAAAGAGAGCACACAGCTTTCCCCATCAGCCAGCGCGCGCGTACGTACACACATGTACACACACACACACACACACACACACACACACACAGAGTTATTACTACTTGGTACTTCCTGCAGTGCACGTATAGTCTCTGTAATTGTATTCTTTCTAAGTGTGTTATTTTAGTGTTCTGACTGGTCTGTGCATTTCATAATTTTTATTTCTCTTACACTTAAATTTAATTCTTTGAGTAGTGAGTTCTAAAACGCCTAACCTGTCCTGGCTGGAGTAATTATCCCTATGGTAACTTTAAAAAAAAAATTAATTATAATATATATATATTTTAATTATAGATAGATTTTTTTGTTTCTACTGGTGGCGCACATCTGCGCACCCCTTGGTGCACATACCAAAATTTATTCTGTACATGGATGGAAAAAATTAGAGGGAACATTGGTCAGAGGCAAATCTATGGAGCAAGTCTACGGAGACCACGATTCCAGCTCAGAACTGATGGCTTTCAGGAGAGGCCCTTAAGTCAGAATTAACTCTAATTAGAGGAAGCAGGAATTTGCAGTTCAAAGCACTCTCTGCCCAAGCAGCTGGGCTCAGAGAGGAGAGTTATACTGTGTGTGCTGAGCAAGTCTGGGCTTTGGTGAGACCCCTTCCTTCTGCACTCAGTCCTTCAGCACAAACTGGAGTTTCCACTCCCCCCACTGCTGGCTCCTCTGGCAGCACGAGGGCAGGGCCCGGCCCCTCCCTGTCGGGAACACGTTCCTCCAAGACTTACTGATCACACTCTGCACTTTGGCAACAATGCTGCTGGGAGGAATGGGCGTGGTCTTCTCCGAGAAGTCACATGAATACAGAACATTGTCCACAGTCGTCCCATGCTCACTGTAGTTCAACAGCTCGTAATGTTTTGTATTCTAGGAAGGAAGAGACACTTAACATGTAACCCAGGCAACACTGAATGGGACAGAAAGCCCAAAGACCCCATTCTGTACTGCGTTCCTGCTTCCCATCAGTGCACTGCTCAGACGGAGGGACCTACCGAGCTAAACAGGCCGTTTCAGGCAGTGGCAAGTCAGACTTCATGGAATCTGGCTGCATGCATGTTACCCAGAATGCTCTGCATGCATGTTACCCAGAATGCTCTGCATGCTGATCTTGCACAGAATGCAGAACGAGCAAATGAAAACTGCTCACACAATTATGGCTCATCAACCCTCTGAAAGAGATTCATATAGTTGGGAACATGCTTTACTGCACAGGACCCAATTCCCCACCTGCTAATTCTCTGACAGACCCTCACACATTAGCCACTGTGTGCTGCTCACCACACTGCCAAGGGGTCTGACCAGAAAGGAGCATCTGCTAGTGAACACTTCGTTCCCAAACCACGGAGCACATTCACTGTGCTGGAGAAACAGCAGGTCTCAGCCCTCCCTGCACAGGGGGTCATCAGCACAGCTGTGAGCACTAACGCCAGTCACAAGGCACTGCCCCAGAGATTAAACACGCTGCCTCCAGTGTGTCTAGAGACACTCAGGTATGAGTGAGTCCCTGACCCCAGCAGAGTACCCAGCCCGACAGCGGGGGGAAGAAGAGTGACATGACACGAGAAGGAAGCCATGCGGACTGATCAGATCTTGTCAGGGTGGGGTAGGATCAAGTTATGAAATTGCTATTACATTAAAAGTACAATGTTTTGTTAGCTAGGTTTTAGTCCATGTAATGTGGGCTAACAGGGATAGCTCAGTCATTGTCAACAGGGAATTATCCGCCCCTCGGGTGTTTCTGGTGCGCTCCTGCAAGGATCTGCTCTTGGCCCAACATTATTCTGTCACTTTAGCAATGGTCTGGAAGAAAAGGTCCACAGACGATGAAATCGGTGTAGTAGTAAATAATGACCGGGACGTGTCAAATCTAGAGCGCAAGGCAGGCTCATCTGAACAGGGGGTGTGACACAGCCAAAGACAAAGTCCTACATCTGGGGACAGAGAACGCAGGCCTCATGTAGAGGACAGGGAACAATTTCGGAACACAGTGACTCTGAAGAGGACTTGGCTGAACATGCGCTCCCAGTGTGACCCGGTGGCTAAGAGGGCTCAAGGGATTCTTGGATGTAGAAGCACAGACATATACAGAGGAGTAGGGAGGTGTTCCCACTGTATATGGCAATAGTGAGACCACTATTGGCCTAGTGTATCCAGTTCTGGTGTCCACGCTTCAAAAATGATGTTGACACTGAAAACAGATTAAGGACGTGCAGAGACTCAGACCCGAGTTTGCCCCGAGGGAACTTGTCAGCAGAACTCTGTCGCAGAAAGAGGGTTACCAGTAAATGCTGACCCCACCTTAACTCTTATACAAGCCTGGCTCTCACTCTGCAGCCCACAAAGGAGCTCCACGCAGCTGCCTTCATCTCCAACTCTGAGCAAGTGGCAAAGCAAAGGCCCAGGCACTCACCTCATCGTAGAATATGCAGGCATGTTTGCCAGACACATAGTTACAGTGACCGTAGCTTGTAAGGCACACATCCATGTCAGCTCCTGCAACGGACAGGAAGACAAAATATGGGCTCAAGTCAATTGAATTCAGAAAAGCTGGCCCAGGCGGCACAGAGCGAGAGAATTAAATGTCAGGGGGCTTGGTGAACAGTGCTGAGATAAGCCACAGAACAAAGTTTCTGCTGGGAAACTTCCCCCCTGTAAGATTAAGCAGGGGAAGGTGGAAAACCATTTCAGCATTATTGTGCCCTTCCAGTGTGCTAGGGGCTCCAGGCTGAGGCAAGAGTGGTAAATGCCCAAAAAGATCATTAGTCTCCCGTCTTAGCAGTTACCAGTTAGAAACCGACTCTGGGAGCCTAGGAAAGTTGTGACTTTTTAATGGCAAATCTCAGACTGTGTGGTATCAAGAGTTAATACTCCCACCCTAAAACAATGGCTATCAAATCTGGGCTACAGGCACCTAACCATGCCAGTCACATGGTGTCCTGCCATCTAAGTGAGCTTTCTTGCACATGTTGCCCGATAATACACAAGAGGAACAGAATGCCAAAATCCCAGGATAAAATGACTGGCCCCAACATGGCATTCTCCAAAGAGCTGCATTCACTTCTACTGGGGTGACTTTAGTGCATTATGGCTTGGATTGTCTATGTGCAAACAAACAAACAAATGGAAAGTGATTTTTTCATTGTGATTGTGCAAGGAGACGGCACTGACCTGTCCCGATGTAGAGGGTTCTGTAGCACATGTTCACTGCACTTCCTGTGCCCATCAGGGGATAGAACACTGCCCGGGCTTGCACTTCCTTTCTTTGCACTGGAAGACAAAAGGGAGATCTGAACACTACGGAATATATTGCCTACAGTAATATCAAGTTACTGGGTTTAAGTATTCCCCCTGCTGGGCTGTTTGGGGCTCACGCATCATTTTTAAAAGGAAACTATCAACTTGAAATCTGGACAAAATCAGAAATAGTTTCAGCTCTTACCCCCGACCAATTGTTGTGGTTTTACAGTCACATCTTTCTACTCCCCCACTGCTATGTGAAAGACCCGCACAAACCACGTGACTATACAGGGGAAATGACACTGGGCACAGACAAAAGGAAACCAACTGGGAAGAGACTATTTCTCCTCTCTCATCTCTTCCAGTTCCAGAACAGTGAAGTGTTAAAGCCCACGTCTTCTGAATTGTTGTCCTCCAGTTCCTTTAAGATGGTGCCCCTTTAAACTGAATTTGGAGCTAGCGAAAGCTGCCAAGTCGACAGCTCTAGAGACAGAGCTGCTAGTTAGCCCCTGAGAAAAGCACAGGCAGATGCAGAACAAGCTTTTCCACGGATCAATTTCAAATTCCTACAGCTGGAAGGGCGGGGGCGGATTCCCTCTTCAACTAGTTTAATCTTAGTTGAGTCTCCACAGCACAGTCAATCCTGGACCCTCCTCCTACCGAGGCTGCCGACAAAGAACCAGCGGTTACATGGACACAGAGCTCACATCCCAATTGCACCTGGAACAGGCAGACCACCATCTTGTTTCACATAAGGGTCACTCACCTAGCAGTCCAATGGCAACCTGGTCTAGGTTTGAATGGCTCCGTACCTGGACCTAAACCCCCCATGTCCTCTTCCTGTCCATGCAAACACACATGCAGCCTAACCTAACTCCCCCCCACATGCATCTCCAGGACAGTTTCACATCAAGAACAGATGTGAAACGGACGAAGCATGCAGATTACAAACTGAGTAAAGAGCGTCAAACAACAAACATTTAGAATCGGTGTCTGGAATTCACCACTGCTGTCAAGAACACTCTCCGTGGGATTACGTGGAGCCTTCAGCATGGAACATGCCAAAAAGCTCCACTGTTCCCAACACGTCATTTCTACATTTGGCTGCTCTGCTTAGTACAGATCAGCCAGCGGGGCTTGTCTCAGAAGTTTTGTCTCAAGTGTGCCATCAACAAACAAAATAAAACTCAAAATTAGCACAGGGGGAAGTTTGATGGGTCAAAAAGACAAAGCAGGTAGGGAACACAGCCATGGATCTCCCCTAGGATAGTCTGTGCCAATGATCTGAGATTCAGTTCTACAAGTGTCTGCTGGCCACATTATTTAATCCCAGTGCTAGCCCTGTGCAGTCCCACAGCTGCCTCTAGCTCCAGAAATGTTAGAAGACAGACACAGTTGCTGATAGACATTCAGAATCTGTGCTGCAATGCCACAGCCTGAAATGACCAGGTGAGCTGAGACAAGGACAAATCAAGTTTGTGATACAGCCAATGGGGCACTACCACAGATCTCACCTCTGTCCCTCTTGTACCCCCCCACCCCCGTAGGCCTAGACCAACTGAGAGCAGGACACGGCTCCCACAGGACAACTCTTCTTTACTTCTGAAGGTAAATGGACACGGTTCAGGGAATTGATACTTCTTCCTAACAGCCGATAACCCTAACAGCGGACTAGGAAGCTGCATGCCTGACACAGCTCTAAGGATCAGTGACATTAATGACCATAGCAAGGAAAGCAGAACCCTGACCTCAGGCCCTGACAGATTTTATAAGTGAAGGAGGTAACCGTTTCCAACTATTTAGTGTTAGAACATATCTGCAATTTTAGCTCTGCGGTTCCCAATTTGGATTGAAGAAATCCATGGATTTTAAAATGTAACACCCTCACTGTATGCCCCAGTTTTTGCAGCTCACGTTTAGGTTTCTCTTTCAAGCCCACAAACCAGTTTTCTCCAGCTCCAAAAAGAAGGCAGCAGGATTTCAAACACACTTGTTCATTTGCTTCCCAGATCCCCGAGCCTCTTGCAAACATGCCAGAGAAGGCAGCTGGGCCTTTCCCTTCCTTGCTAGCTCAGACTGGTGCACCTTGGCCTAACACCACAATACCAGAACATCCATGGCTGCAAGTTGCTGTGATGCAGCAGGGGGAGAGCAAGCTCCTTTTCCTACCACGTTTGCCAAAAGCTCAACAAGGGGAAGTGGAGGAACATTTCTGATCGAAGAGTATCCGGAGAGGAGGGGCAAGAGGAGGGAAGGAGAGGAAATGGGGGTCTCCCAAATACCAGAAAAGAGAGAATCTCTCTGGATGACAGTCTGATGGCATGGTCTGCTGAGAAAAACCACAGCTCAATGCAAAGTGCCTATTCTAGGGCTGCTCTTACCTTCAATGTGATTTGCCAAAGGAGACGACTGATGGGAACTGACACTGCTCACTACAGATTGAACTTTGGAAGGAAAGAGCTGCTGTATTCTCTGCAAGGCCAGAAACTTGATTAGCTTCTCATCCAGCATATTTATCTCAATCTCTGTTAATAAATAAAAAGCAATTAGTAAATTATTCCCGGAGAGGGCGTCATTTGATCTGCTGTGGGCTTAACTGTCCTGCTCCTAAATTTTGCCATTTGCTTCTGTAAGCAGCAACTCTGTCAGGAAAAACTCTGCAGCCTCAGGAGTCTAAAGTGCAGGTGCTCTATTACTTTCTAAATACATTCTCTTTCCTAGCAGCATGTCTGGACAGCAAGACTTGTCCTCTTGGAGAGCTGCAGTCTAGACAGGAAAGGGACATTTGCGTTTTTCTGGCTAGGAAAAAGCTGAAGACTCTACAGGTGGGCAGAGACACAGAAAGGCCATGTGTATTTCAGGCTCTTTTGGGCAGCAGGGATGGGGCGTGCTTCTTGTGAGACTCAAATTTACAACCCGGTTGGAAAAAAGCTTGACTAGGTCTATCCCAGAGATAAATGACAACTCCTTAGGTGCGGTATACTCTCATTTTCAGGGTCACAGTCTTTCATGGCAGGTTCAACTTAAAATTGTTCATAAAGAGGGGGAATTCGGACAGATCTGTTTTGAGATTTACTTTTTACACAAATAGAGATCACTGTTGCCGATACTGACCAGCAAGGACGACAGTTACTCAGGCCCTGCAAAGATCTGCATTGGGCTTGTGAACAAGTTAGTTCACCTCCTGCAAGAGCCGTCGCAATGTCAATGTCACTGGTAAAAGAGCGAGCAAAGGAAGCAGAGCCATGCTGGCTAGTGCGAGTCCCGTTGCAAACACAGGAGGCCAAGACAAACAGCCAGGGTTTCGCCAAAGGAAAGAGGGTCAAAATGGCAGTGCAAGAAAGGCTGTAGAGAAGGGTCACGAGCAACAGACGGAGAATGAAGTTGAGAACTGTACAGCAGTCCTCTGGATTCTCAGTAAGTCACCCTGAGGAGAGTCCGGGTTTCCTGCTATCCCACTGACAAAAGGAGAGGAAGATATAACAGTCTCTGGGACAAAGGCAGAAAACGTAGCTGTAGAAAGATGTAACTGAAGGCAAACCCATAACAATACTGCAGCCCAAAGAATACGCAATCGCTAGCCTCCGAAAAGGTGAGGGAAGTGTCCTTGGATCACAGCTAAAATCATGACATGGCCGAGCTGGTGATCTGTAGCACATGAATTCCACCGAGCAACAGGTCTGGACACCAACATTCTGGACAGACACCCCCAAAGCTTACGAGGGTAAACACTCCAAGTACCAAGGTGTGAAAGTGAATAAGACCCACGATTTTGACAGGGATGGGGCACTCCCTTGTTCACCCAGGGTAATACATATCCACACCCCAGCCCCCTTTACCGAAGTCACTCTCCCCTTTAGCAGCGTATTTAAGGAAAGGAACATTTCCCTCTCGGCTAGTATATACAGCCACTCTGGACCGAGATAAAGAATCAGAGACTACTCACCGCTGTTGCCATCCATTAATGCTTTCACAGAGCTGGTGAGGTCCAACATAGCTGCAGAGTTTGAAGTGAAAGATGAGGGGACAGTTAAAGAGCTTCCTATGGATACGGTGCTGGGACTGACCTTACCATCTAGAGAGACGGGGAGAGAAGAGAAGTGTCAAGATGCACAGTCACCTCTGAGCTACTGATGAGCCCTCAACTCATACTTCTGATTTACAAACTGCACAGAATGGCTCGTTTTGCTAGTAGCCATGCTTTGAAAAGAGAAGTAACTCTTTTCACAACCAGTAATCCACGCCTCCTGAAAAGGGCTCTGAATAGCACCACACCTTTTCCCAGAGCAGTTCTAGCTGGCAGAACGGAGTTCCATTTCCATGGGCTCCTGCACCTCTACCATATGCTGAAGGGAAGTCACGTTATCCTGGAAGTACGACCTGTGGAGCAGAGCTGTAAGGTGTTTGGGGGACAGCCTGAAACCCAAATCTCACTGGACCCAGAGGGGAGAAATCTTGGGAGCAGTTTTTCTGTGTTGGGTTTTATACATTTGCAGAATTTTGGATAAGAAATGTTTTGTTAACCAGAAACAAAATGAATGTTTCTGTAACTTGTTTTGGAGATCTGCTACTGCCAACACAAGTGCCATATGTACTGTGGAAGTCTGAAAGCTCTTTCCTGGGTGGTGAGAATGTAACAGAGAAGCAATGTGCATACACGTGACTTTAGCTCATTCACAAACTGCAATCCTACTGCTTAAAATAGTGTGACATTTGTGAAATGTCTGCTTCAGAACTACATAGCAGTGAAGGAAATTACGCTCCCATGCCTCAGATACCCAAATCCCCTGCCTCCCCCGATAATCTATTTAGAATTAGATGAGAAATACTAACGGCGTTTAAAAGGGATATTACTTTTTCCTTACCTAGATTCCCATAACCTTCCGTTACTAGAACCAAGAATTAAAATCTAATTTATTTTTCACTTCCAATGTCAGTTTCTCTTTAGTTTAGGCTCGTTCACTTGTTCTCTAACACAATGCAGCATGAGTTGAATAGCAAATACTGGAGGGGAAACCTACATTTCACCAACACTTGTTATCATAGGATTTTTTTAATTTTACAGAAGTTCTCTTGGAAGCTGAGTGGGGCTTTGGTTTGCATTTTATAAAATCTAAAGTTTGGGCCCAAACTGACCTGACAGCATCCCTTTAAGAAGCATTTTCAGGATTATCCATGCTTTGCCAGACTCTTAGAAGCTTGAACATAATGTTTCCCCTAATCAATATGGTCCCTTTTCCACTTGGTAAAATTTCCCTCCTCCCCATCCCCGTACTTCCAGCTGAAGCAACAGCCAAGCCAGCAGCTGTGTGTTTGCTTTCTCCTTTGTGCACCAGTGTGGTTGAGATGGTCAGCAGCCATGGGCATAGATTTTACATTAATGCTGCTTCAGAGGAAAATCTGTCAGTCACTCATACCAGAGATTTTTAAGATAATACTCAAGCCAGCTAAGCGCTCGCTCTCCCCACTGTGTGTACTGTTTGGATGCTCACTAGCTCCAAAAAAATAATTCATTTATTTTTAAGTGCCCTGAAAGCACTTTAACAAACCAAACTTATGTGGGTATCTCTCAATCACTTCCCTGCTGCTACGGAGGGCTCAGCCACTGGTGCACCTCAGCCCCTCCTATTCTCTGTCTGGGGCTGTAATACTTGGCTCTAATTTCGGTTGCTGGGTTTAGTGTGCAGGTGCTGGGTGGCTTGTGACACCGAGAAGGTCAGACTAGATGATCCAGTGGTCCTTCTGGCCTTAAACTTGGACTCTGAACTCAACCCTCCCCACAGAGCTGTACTGGGAACACCGCCACCTCTACAATTTGCATTGTGACTGTTACATGTCCTTAATGGCCTCTTTGCAGTTGCACATGGTTTTTTGAATCTTTATGTTGAACAATGGCCTTTTCTGGGCTTAAACGAATGTGAAGGTGTTGGTTTATTTGTTTTGAAGCTTGAGGAAAATTGATTCAGCTGTTTCTCTGTACAAGAAAATATCCCAATCCTCAATTATAAAAAATTGCAAGTTTTCTAACAGCTTTACCATTCAAAAAGAAGATTCACTATTTGCATTGCCATAATGCATCTGAATATCTTTGAATTATTTTTTTATGTTATCTGGTCCTAAGGAATCCATTTTAGTACGTTTGTCAGCATCCACAGTATTGTACATTTCTTTTTCAGTTAGCAGCACAGACATTACTGGTGCAATTCGGGGTGGAGGCTGTTAACCACACAGCTCACTGAACAGCATGTATTATGCCAGCAAACTTTCACTATTAGTGTTGTAAACTTTATATTTGATATAAACCTAGTGTTAAACAGAACTGTCCTATGAATAACTTTCATGATTTGGGTATACATCCAGAAGGACAAAGTTACAAGACACTAAACATATCGAAGGTTGTGCAAAAAGCAGACAGAAGACTATTGTAATTCATAAGAACCAGGGTGGAGCTGAGGTTGTACATGAAATCTTAACTGTGGCATTTCCTAACCCTTGGGATTTGGGTTTTTTTTTGTATACAGTCTTTGCAAACAAACGAACAGGGTCACACATTATGATCTTCACAGCCTTGAGTGCCTGCTTCCACCAGGACATTAAAGCAGAGATTTGAAGTAATCCATTTGGAAACTCCAGCAATCTTCTTAAAGCAAATGTACTGTTACAGTTGTCAAAATAGCAACTGTGACAGCAACACAGCAACTGAACAGTTTAAATGACAGTACGTTTCCGGAATTTCCAGTTCCTTCTGAACCCCTGATGGATCAACAGTTTCAGAAAGCAGCACAGTGCTCCCCCTCTTTAGAGACGCATTCAACTCGCAACATCTAGCACAGGGCCCAATTGCTGTTTCAGGACCTGTGGGCAACCCTAACCCTAACTCTTTCCATGGTGCCATGCCTGCGGCAAGCCTCGCTTCTTGCAGTTACTATACTTCATGCTCTGAAAGAAAGATTTTTAAATACTCACTTCCCAACTGGAAGGCCCAGATCTCCCCATCAGATGCTCACCTGAAGGTGGTGCTGGTGAACAGAATCTGTGTGTGGATCCGATGGCAGAGATCCCATCTCCCGTTGCCTGTGGAGGAGTAAGAGCCCTTGTGGCAGTCAAAGGGGAACCAATTGATCGCAATTCTGCTGTCAGCGGGGGGCCTATCTGCGTCTGGACATTCTTTCTTTGCAAAGTGCTGGTGGTCTCTAGGCTGGAACAAGAGCTTGGTATGGAAGCAGGCATACTTGTGACTGGCACAGAACCCCTTTGTGCACAAGAAACGGGTCCTGCTATGTTCTCCGTCTTCACAACAGTTCCAACTGTGTGATTCAGAAGTCCACAAGCTGCTGGAGGGGTGAGAGGCCTAGCCCACGTTTGCCGATGAGACAGCCCAGGTATTGCATTACCTGGGCCAATTAGCCTCTGAGAATCAGTCAAATGTGCCGAAGGTTCAGAGGAAACACCATACAAATGAGGACCATTTACTTTAACTTCAGAGGCTGTTGGCCCATTAGAAGTCCCGCAAGAAGATACTTTCTTTGACTTATCCATACAAGAGCTGCAATTGACATCTTCCTGTGGTAAAGACTGCTGGGATTGAGAAGAGCTCAAGGAATTCTGGGTGGTAATCCCTGAGGTGCACGACACAGAATAAAGGGAAGGTGTGAGTGCCTTGTCAGCTGCCTGGTAAGGGTTGGTGATTGAGCCGTCTGCCACAATAACAGGCTTAATATCAGCCTTCTCTGTCTGTTCAGAGTCCCAAAGCGAAGGCATCTGCTTAGCAGATAAATGTCTCAAAATGCTGCACTGGAGCGCAACAACACTACAGAGCCACTGAAAACAGAAAGAAAACGTAGGTAAGTGTCACAGGCTGGTCACTCACGCAGCATGCCCGCTTCAGCCACCCAAACAAGCAGGACACTTTACCCGGCATCGCTCTGCCTGCTCCTGAAAAGGCAGTTCACCACCACAGCAAAACAACTTAATATAGGTATATTATGGAGTCATGGTAGCTGTTCTGATACAAATGCAATACAAATCAGGTGGTTACGAGCACTATACCTCTGTCATAGGACTTACAGTTATTCCATAATATATATCAATCACGTTGGTACTCAAGAGAAACATTTTGCCCAAATCCAAGCTAGTTACAGTGAGAGTCTGCCTTAGGCCCAAAATTCCACCTCCATCTTGCTACAAGATTCAAACAGACACACTACTTACTGGTCTTTCTATAAAATGGGTTTCTCTCAATCTGGAGTGCATCCAGCCAAATGACTCTGTAGAGAAAGCTGGAGCAGACTGCAGAAATACTTTGGCTTCCTGTACAGAAGCTTTTTTAGGGACAGAGCAGAGAACCTATTTAAACCATGAGGACTGGGGGAGGATTCCTTCAAGGCTTCCAAAGGCAGCGTGCTGACATGACCAGCTTGGAAGGCACTTTCTGAACAAGTCTGGGTATTGGCCTAACGCATGTCACCATGCATCCTTCACTTCCAGAACAGAATGGAGTCCCTACATTAGACACACATACACAGAGGCAGCAATTGCCTTCCACTGAAGTTTACCCCACCTCACACTGTGGGACCAGCTCATCTTGTCAGTCTTGTAACAGACGACAGAGTGGCTTACAGCGTAGACCGCTATTTGCAAGGGGATTTGCGGCTTACAATACTGTAACCCAGCAAGAGAACTCATAGGAGGTATAACATTTAGATTTGACATTAAAAATATGCCCATACAAAGCTTCCGAGTGTCCTCACGTTAGTCTTACAAAAGCCACCCAGCAACATGAATGTTAACATACAAGTTCGTTAACGCCACCAGCCTTACACAACCAAATGGAGAAAGCAATTTCCCTCTGCCAGATGACAATAAATACATAAATAAATAAATAATATATGGGTATATATCCATCTCACAGAACTGGAAGGGACCTCGAAAGGTCATTGAGTCCAGCCCCCTGCCTTTACTAGCAGGACCAAGTACTGATTTTTGCCCCAGATCCCTAGGTGGCCCCCTCAAGGATTGAACTCTCATCCCTGGGTTTAGCAGGCCAATGCTCAAACCACTGAGCTGTCCCTCCCCCCAATCGACCTGCTAAATCCAGGGTTGTGAGTTCAATCCTTGAGGGGGCCACTAAGGGATCTGGGGCAAAATCAGTACTTGGTCCTGCTAGTGAAGGCAGGGGGCTGGACTCGATGACCCTTCAGGGTCCCTTCCAGTTCTAGGAGATGGGTATATCTCCATATATTTTAATTTATGGACAAAAAATTTAAACACTCAAATCACACCAAGCATTATACCCTCCTCACTCTCCCCCAGACTCTGTCAGAAACAGCCTTCTCTCTGTGCGTAGGAGGTGTGACAATGAGAGGAACTTGCATGATATAGGTATCCACCATCAGCTGACGAGCTGTAGGTCACAGACACCAGTCTGGGGACTATGGACTTGAACGTTGGTACTCTGACCATCCAGTAGCTATATTAAGGAGGGTTGGCTGGAGCTGGGAGACATTTCCCCCAGCTTGTCGGTAGGGGGCTGGGATTTGGAGAGTGGAAAGGTGCCAGCAGCAGAACAAAGGAACCTGGTGGTGGTGGTGGGGCAAAGACTGTACCCGAGGAGTGTGCCTAGAGGTGCTGAGATAAGAACACTGCATGGGCTCCATGAGGCTTAACACACAATCCAGCTGCTGGATCCCCTCACAGCTGTCTGGGGAGTGGACAAAAGGAAGCATTCAATGAGAGCTGTGACAGGTCATGGGAGGAGAGAGAAGAAACAGTCACCACTGCACATATGTTCTAGACTTGCTATTCAGAAAGATACTTTGATCATATCTAACTGAAATGCACAGCAAAGAGAAGCTATAGAGCCAAAACATTTGCCATCGTTTACCTCTTGTTGTTCTGACTGGCTGGCTAAGTGCTCAGAATTCAAAAGGTGCTTCTGTGAGGATTCCTCAGGGACCCCATTACAGATGAGCTCACCATCCCGAATTGCTGCAGGTGCAAGTAAGGGGGGTGGAAACCGGTACTGAGATTTTATCGCATCAGGAACCTGAATTGTCAGGAGGGAAGAGGAGACATTAGATAATTACAGGTGCATTCCATTAAACTATAGTCATTCTTAACAAGTATTATCCAAATTTACTACTGGCCGATGGTTTCCAGGCCAAAGAAACCAGAGATTGTGCCAACACCAGTCAGCACTGTGGCAGAGTAGAATACGAAAGGGGGACATCAGAAGATAGGAAAGTTTCAGGGCTATGTGCAGACTTGGTTTAAGTTGACACAACTCTGCTGAAGTAAATGGAATTTCCCCATGCTTATACCAGATCTGGACTTGAGCCTTTAGTGTATTGGTTGTAGCATGAATGCATCCATTCAAACAAAATAAAAAGAGCAGGGGAAATACATTTATTTAGAATCAAATGCCCATTATATTGAGTTATTCTTCCTCATTTAGATTGGGTGAGGTATTTTGCTGACAAATTAGAACACGTGAAGCAGCACTGGTTCTTCTGACTTCAGCACCTGCTACAGAAGAAGTTCCTCCATATCTCTACTCTGCTTTAGAAGTTAGCCACCTCAAACACTGCAGAAGAAAACCGAAGCCTGGATCCCATGCTTGGCAGGTTAAAGAACTTTTCAGTTTCTCTAAATTAGTACATGACAAAAAGCCATGCTTTCAACTGTGGGGCTCTGAGCCACACATTTAGTAGGATACCCTCTGCCCTGGCAGCTTTGAGTCCATTAATCCTTCATCCATCCCCCATAGACAGATAAGTATCTAGTCTTAGCCTGGAGGTTCTAGTAAAGATTCCCTCCCATTTTGTTCTATCTTCCCAACTTGTTCCAAAAGTGTATTTACATTTACTACTCAAAGGAGTTTAATTTAGAAACCTCACTAACTTTAAATTGTAGACCTGCTGTGATTGCAGAAAAATATTTACACATTCTAGAGCACATAAAAACAGGATGGTTTGCATGGTGTATGCTTGCTTTCGTCTCAGATACAAATAAGTAATATAGGGAGCTCTTAGTAACTTAAAAACCTTCCAATTTTGAAGCATGAGTGCCACTCACTAGAAAGGCAACAGCATTTCTTAAAGTTGCATTTGAAAGATGTGTAGTTGCCACCAAGTGGCAAAACTGTGTAATGCTACTTCATTGGTAGGCTGGATAGCTAAATGTAGCTACTGGAAAGCAGCAGTACTCCACTCCCAAGTTTGAGATCAGGTGCTATCGTCACTTCTTCCTAGCCCTGCTAGGGACACACCAAAGACTAGAGACTTGATAATCCATCACACTGGGGCAATGCCTGTTACGTGCCTTTTTATTATGCTAAAACATGTAAGCAAGGTTCTCCAGAACATTTCCTGTTTTCACTTACCTTCAAACCTCTTCTCTTCACTGACTGAACAACTCTGCGGTTGGGAGGGTGTTTCTTGTGGATTCGGTTCAGGAAATCCACCTTGACAACATGCTGAGATATGGTGTCTTGGAACCGATCAAAAACCCGGCACCGATTGCTCAGGGTCATGTTCTTCTGGTTCAGCTGGAAGAGCAGATATAATACTGGCATAGTTAGGATGACCGATCCCAATACCTGTTCCAAACAAGAGCTGCCTCTTTCACAGTCAGTTAGTAGTGTACCACCAATACCATCAGCTCAGCTTTAGTGCTCTATGTTTATGAATCAAAAAATATAAAGTTGTTTCTGCTAGAGGGTACAACTCTATAAAGTCGAAAGATAAAATCTTTCAGTGGCCTAATAAGTTAATGTCTGCTTGTGTAATCTCACAAGCAGTCGATCTCCTGATACATGTATTTAGATACCAGCCATCAGTATAATGAATATTTGACTATAAAATAGTCCCCACCAACTTGAAGCAGAGGGAACAGAGAGCTGATTCACACAAGGAACTCCTTATTCAGAAAAGGGTAGGGTTTTGGGGGGATATAGTTCTAGACTTTGGTATGAAGAAGCTGAGAGCTACAGAGAAATAACTTTCATCTACTGCTTTCCTTCTGTCTCAGAGGTTGTCAACTTGATCACATTTGTCTGAAAATCAAGCTTTTCAGAGTCACAAACACCAATTACTAAAGCAAAGAAAATTAGGAAAATCAATATTCTACTTTTTCAGTTTGTTTACTTTGTGTATAGTCAGTTTATTGCTTGTTGAAAACATCCTTAGAAATATCAATGCAGGAGCAATAAACTCTAAACGGTTGAGTTTTTTTTTAAATTAGTCCATTAATAAAATTGAATCTGACCACGTCCTTTTAACATCCATTTACTGTTATAAACTTACCACCACATGTTCAATATGATTTGGACACATCCATCTGCCCAGGGGCATGGCAGTAAGAGGGGGCTCAAGACAATCCATGTGGAACAGGAGGGGGCAGTAATCACACTGAATAAGAGGTGCCACTCTGCAACTCCTGCAAAGAAACAGGGAAACAGCTGCTATTTTTAGTATTTCCTAGAAAACCAAAATTAATGTTGCTCACCACCTTCCTATGCTACAAGTGGGAGGGGAGGGATCACTTGTAGCCAATAATTAGAAAGAGACCAAAGTGGCCCCAGTGTCACAATTTATGTAACCTAATAAAGTTACTGTAGCTCTCATCCTTCCTTTCCCCTGCATTATTTGTTGCTATTGTCTAAAATTAGGCAACAATGGTGTAATTCGATCTGTGTGGAGTCCTATTGGACTGAAGTCAAATGGGCACAAAGATCTGCCCATGCAGATCCAAGTGCAGGATGGGGGTCTTGGATTGTAAAATCCTTCGGGTAGGACTGGAGCAGTGTCCTTTGTTCCCCATGCACTCCATAGAAGCTGTACGAGCAGTTCTGAACACGCTGCTCTCATTCACTACTGCTTTGGCCAGTAAGCTCATTACCAAGGAAACTCATGGACGCTAAGAGCAACCTCCAGGGAGTTCAGTTATTCCCAATTACTCCACTCCTCAGAGAGGTACAGTCTGTTGCAATGGGAACTTTTACTTCAGAGAGACGGAAGAGGTCATAAAAAACTGGACATGAGAGGGGTTCTTTCAAATACACTTGTTCTTCCCAGCCACACACAATTCATTTAATGAAGCCATCAGCCATCTCGTAGGTTTCTTTTTTTAAAGCTTACTTGAAGCTCCTCCTCTCTTCCGAAAGCTCACTTAGAGTGAAAGACGACACTAAGCATAGCTGTACTGTGATTCAGTTTCCACAATAAAATGACTTAGATTATCAATTAAACTGACTTTTTGGGCTGGGACTTAAATTCATAGATATGGTTCACTATTCCAACAACCCAACATTGCATAAATATTTAGCTCTATGGTTTTGTGATTAACCATTTCTGAGTGTCCCCTGCATAATCTGGTGGCATGCATCTTTGTCAGTGATGTTCTGCCTTTTGTTTCTGAGGGTTATTTTCTCCTAACACCCTCTACATGTACCATAAATTACACTCACTACTGCACAATTTTTATTTATCCAATACCTTTTAAGATCAAAACTGGTATTTAAGCAGAGGATGCCAAACTTCTTTCACAAACAACAGAATTTCACCCACACCAAGTGAAACTCCCAGAAGTGGGAGACTTGGGTACCTGTTGCATGTGAAGCAGACTTTCACCGGCAAGGGAACCAGACCATTATGGTCTAGCTCATGTTGTGCTTTCTTAACATTCTTTCCCGTGGTTTCCTCCTTCCTCCTCCTCTTACTAGTACCTGAAAAGTAAATGAAAAGGTTTTGCATTACCTGTGTGTAACAGAGCTCCTATTCTGATCACTGTAACTGGAGCAGATGGATATACACATCCATCTCTGGCAGAAACAAACAGACTGATCTAGGAAGAGGCTAGCAAAGCTGCTTAGGGCACCACAGCCCTGACTTAAATCTGGTATCAATTTAAAAGAAGGGGAGATGAGGAATAAAAAGATAAAATGAAGGCAGGCCGGTCTCATTTGTAGACAGGAGCCAAGAAAGCAAGAAGCCATCTAGATTTAGTCAGAGACAACATCTAGGCTAAAGTGAGTTTTCAAATGATCAATTTATTACTTACTATGAAAATCTATTCCAGGAGTACAATGGCAGTGAATGAAAGTTTGGCAATGAACAGTCCTAACAAAATACAAGGAGACTTCCTCTGGCTGGTAAAATCCTCTCGCCAGTGTCATTTGGTCTGGCAGAGAGCGTCTGAGAGTGGCTGTACAGACAGTACACTACTCTGTTAAACTATTGAAGTTCAGGGCAGTCCTGTTTAATAGCAAAATGCTGATTTCCAAGTCCTGCTGCGTGCCCTGGAGCAAAATAAACACTCATCTATTGTTCCAGTGAAGCAGCCACACCAGAAGAGGAGCTGGAGGAGAGCGTACACCCGCACCATCTATTTTCACGAGGAGGGGGCATCAGAGCCAGAATTAGAAAAGCATGTCAGTAGAAACTCGCACAAGCTGGACAAACGAGAGCACAGAGGAGGCAGAGGGCACGTTTGCAACCCCCAGTTGCAGCTCTGAATGGTAAGCTATGCCAGCAGACAATATTTACTCACCTGGAAGTGCTGTGGTGCAGGTCAGTTCATTCGGCAACTGGAACTGGGTTGGGTTTCTTTCCATGGCAGCTGCAATAAGAAGCTCAAAGGGTCGCTTCAGCTGGGGCTGCCCACAGTCCATTTCCGCAAGGGCAGAGTCATCATCCACGTCAATTATGTCCTCATCGTCGACATTCTGCTCGGAATTGGGAGTCTCAGTGCTGGCATTAGATGTGGGAGTGCCAGGCCGACTTGCTCTCCGTTCCAAGATCCTGGCATGTGCAATTGCCCTGATGCTGGTGCTAGACCTGTCCAACAGGTCTGTGTCACTGGTAGGGGAGGTGGTCCTTTTCCCAGATTTGTCCACCAATCCATTTACCTGCCCCAGCTCCTTCTTCTGTTCTCGCTTCTGCAGAACATGAAGAATCACACTTACCACTCAGGCCAGATAAATAAGTACATTGGCCCTGATACATACATAAGTAAAGATTAAACAGTTTTCAGAAATGCTACATGAACAAGAGCTCAAGACATTTATTGCAACAGTTTCTCACCATGACATTTAGCCTTAAGCCAGTAAAAGCAATTGGTTATTACTAGTGTGACTAAGTCATACAATTACTAAAGCAGTTAGAGCGGCCAAGCGTGGGAGGAGGTTAGCCTACTTGCCTTTTGCCTCCGGAGACTTGGATTCAAATCCAGTTTGGACACAAGGAACATATTTAGTGGCATCAGGTTTCAAATTAATACTCAAGAGGTCAACCAACCAATGTATTTGGAAGACCATATTTACCAATGACACCTCTTAGAATAATGCACCGTGCAGCAGGCTTTGCAGTGTTTGAGTCCATTTATAGCAGGACTACTCAAAAACAAGAAAAGAATTAGAACGATGACTTGAGCGCACATAAAAACTGCAATGTGCCAGCACAACACAAGAACTGGCCACTTCTGCTCAGGAGAGTCCGTGGGGGGCTGCAGGTAAGGCCGGAGAGCAACACTGGAGCTAAGGGCTGCAATAGCAGAGGCTGGGGCACAGAAGGGTTCAAGTGTCCGAAGAAGCATGCAGAGTACTTGCCTACAACGAAGAATCAGCCACTGGGAGTCAACAAAGTAATGAAAAGCCACCCTAATAAAGTGGGTGAGTATGGAAAGGAACATGGAATACATACAATTTTCAGGGGACTAAAGGTGGAGTTTGGCAAGCAACTGATTTAATTTTGAGTAGGGCTGTTGATTAATCGCAGTCAACTCACAGGATTAACTCAAAATTAATCGCAGTTTTAATTGCAATGTTAAACAATAGAATACCAATTTAAATTTATTAACTGTTTTTGGATTCATAGATTCTAGGACTGGAAGGAACCTCGGGAGGTCATAGAGTCCAGTCCCCTGCCCACATGGCAGGACCAAATACTGTCTAGACCATCCCTGATAGACATTTATCTAACCTACTCTTAAATATCTCCAGAGATGGAGATTCCACAACCTCCCTAGGCAATTTATTCCAGTGTTTAACCACCCTGACAGTTAGGAACTTTTTCCTAATGTCCAACCTAGACCTCCCTTGCTGCAGTTTAAACCCATTGCTTCTTGTTCTATTCTTAGAGGCTAAGATGAACAAGTTTTCTCCCTCCTCCTTATGACACCCTTTTAGATACCTGAAAACTGCTATCATGGCCCCTCTCAGTCTTCTCTTTTCCAAACTAAAGAAACCCAATTCTTTCAGCCTTCCTTCATAGGTCATGTTCTCAAGACCTTTAATCATTCTTGTTGCTCTTCTCTGGACCCTTTCCAATTTCTCCACATCTTTCTTGAAATGCGGTGCCCAGAACTGGACACATACTCCAGCTGAGGCCTAACCAGAGCAGAGGAAGCCTGCCCAGATTTGAAGCTCCACCTACTTTCCCACTTGTTTACAATGTCAGATC